CACTAGAAGTATTGTTGTAAAGACATCGAGAAGCGCAGTACTGGAATACGATCGTCATGGAAGTAATTTAGGTTTGAAATTCACGGTAAAGAAAGCCTGCTATCAGACACTAATGACTTGTTCAGTTCCCTGTTCAGGTAAAGAAAATGTACTTACATGAACAGCTGGACCTCTTGGAGCTCATAAATGTTTGATAAAAGAAAGTTGATGACTACACTCAACTGATAGATTCACGGTTGCTTTTTCAGGCCATTAGAATTTAAAATTTCATTGTGGCGGAGGGGATGTGTGATTCTGTTCTTAATTTTGAATATTTGAACAAAATAGAAAGGTAGAATGGTAGAAAAACCGTCTCTGTTTGTTCAAAAGCCTTATATTAATAAGTATAAAATTCATATCATGATACGTATCCCAAAACAGAAGTTCCTCGTGAGTGGTGCCAGCTATACTGCATACTGACGGACTGTGTCAACATAACAGAAGCTATAATACAATAAAACCTCATTTAGCTGCTATGTTAGTAAACCTTGTAGAATCAAACGACACATCCCAACCTTGTTGGAACATTGGTACCCTTATTGTTATGGGCACGGTAACCCGTAGATACACAACATCGACGAGTCGTTATTTCTATTATAATTGTTGCGAATTTAGCGAATTACTGCCACATAACGCATATTCGCGCAATTCATATCATACCTAAATTATGTATTTATTCAAATTCATATATAAATATAGTTTAGGAAACATATTTTTTGGTAATATTCCCCACTTTTTATTGCTGTGTTGTAACTGAAACAAGGAGGAAAAAAACAGGGGAAAATCTTAAGGAACCACCTAGCACCTGAATAACACGTTAATGGAATTATTTGAACATTTACAATATCAATAGTTCAATGATTAATTAATTATGGCCAAATTAATTTAAACGTCCCCATTACGAATTTGATGAACATTTTAGGTTAAAGTAAATGATTAATTGTTCGATACTATATGTGCAGGAGGTCGCTTGCCAAAACTAATTACAAACATACGATTATGGCGTGTGGTTTAAACATATTTTATTCTATTCAAGAAGAAAGAAAGGATTGGCAAACAAGCCAAAATGGCTTATATTAATGCCGCTCCATAATACATGTGAAGGTTCACATTTGTGCAAAATACATATTTATAGTGGTTATAACAAGTTATCTCTGAATAATAACAATCATGGATATCAACAATTTATCTTGGTTCAGTTTCGTGGCCAGTTGATACAAATAATAAATATAAGAGAAGGTACAAAACTTTATGAATCAAAACGTTTTGATGTTATAATGAATTGATGGACTGACCGTAGAATATCCATATTCGTCTGATGAGATACCGAGTTATTGCCATTTAGCACATCCCGCAGGGAGATCCCTTTCACATAGAAATACGATTCGTATCGAGTGGTATTATATTTAGGACACATGAAAAAATAGTGGAATACATCCTCATAATCTTGTGAGCAGGAACAAGAAGCATTATCAGAAATGAAACGATTATACTTATCACTGTTTAAGTCACTGCATCCCAATCTAAGGCGGCAGTGTATTATTTGACAAAATCGGCTACCAAAATTTAGATCGAACATTGTGTTGGTATTAACTTGTGGTGTGATTGAATTCTTAAACTGTCCAACAGAGGAAGCGTTTGTAGCATTTGTAGGTAGGTCATTCCACAGTTTAATTGTATCGTGCAAAAACGATTTGGCGTAATTAGCACATTTACATCTTATAGACTGATAATTTTCATTATTCCTAAGATTGTAGTTACTGTTATCAGAAACATTCTGGCGTTTGTGAAGATTATGGCGTGTTGTGTTGTCAGCTTTGCTTTACATGTCGAGAAGTAAGCAGCTTAACAATGTATCCTTAAGTTTATTCTCATAGCACTAACTTCCCAGATTAAAAGCGAATTTTTTTATGTTTATTGGTCTTTTCATTTTAAATAACATTGTGAAGAAGAACGAAAACAGATAGTAATGCGGCAATATAAACTGCTAACATGTTTTTATGCTAATCAACCCAAACTGTGTATGTTATAAAAACTGTGTCTCTCAAGATGGATTTTGACGTTTGTGTGCATACACCGAATGTAATAGTACACAAAGTACACCCATTCACATATTAAACCCTTCTCTTATTTTAAGGCTAGCGATAGGAATTGGGATTGTCAAAAACATATATGTTCACGTAATAATCTACCTGCTACCTCGCAATACAATATACACATAGTTATTACTCTCCCGTGGAAGATACTGCAGTGTAATATGTATACGTCAATATTACACTAGTGCAATACCGCTAGACGCATGACGTCATAATGTTTTACAGTTTGACGTCACAATGCTTATACCTCTGTCTCAATGGTATTAGATGTTGGTTGAAAGTCAAAACACTGTTAGTAGGCAGTGTCTATCAATTTATATTAGAGAGTTCTAGACGCATGACGTCATAATGTTTTACAGTTTGACGTCACAATGCTTATACCTCTGTCTCAATGGTATTAGATGTTGGTTGAAAGTCAAAACACTGTTAGTAGGCAGTGTCTATCAATTTATATTAGAGAGTAATAAACAGAATAATAAGAGTTCAACATTCTAATGCACAGGCAAAGAGAATCAATTATCATTAAATGGGCATTTGGAAATATATTACTTGCAACACAGGTTATTCTTGGAGGATAACATAAATATTTTCAAATATTTTTTTCGGGCAAAGAAATATGAAAATATAGAGGAGTACAAATTGCCACATACGACACTTTTATTTTCTTGTAACATCAATAATAGAATAACACATGGCAGAGTTTATATGCCACCTTTTATCAGACTTTAAAGAAACCAATTTGTTTTTTCTAGTCCGGATACAGTTTCAGGTGATAACAGATGAAATGGTCTGTGTACTGATACTGCACGTCTGCCATTATCACCCACAGCTCACTAACGGGTCAGATCCGGACCACTGTCAGTGATGAAATGAAATGATGTTCTATGTCGTGTTTAAGACGTGTCCGCGTGAAGTAATCTGTCCATAGACATTACTACTACAATAGTTCATACTGACTCTGTCTTCTTTTAGCCATTTGGCCTGGGTAGCAAGAAGTATAAACGTATACAGTATGACGGAATGAAAGGACCAGGGAACAAGCTTTCTGAACTGCCTACGGCTATTATCTGAAGACAAAGATAATAAAAAAATATACGTTGACTGGTCATTGCATGAAACTAAGTGCTGTGTGCCTGCTGCCGGTGGAACCCTGTAGGAACATCTAACAGTTTCCAGACAAATAGCATGTACAGATAAGAACAAAACACCAAATAAAACCCATGTCAAGTAAAACTAACTGAAGCAAGAAAATACGTTTCCTGGATTGAGCTTGACATTAAAATAAGATAAGCATGGAATACAGTCTGAGGAAAGCAGGGGAGAGTGTGGAGAAAAATATATCTCAAATACAAGTCAAGGAACCCAAATTATATTTCTCCAGATGGAACAATCCTCAGGTCAAAATTTCATAAACCATTGGGAACAAATAATGAACAAATTATCAAACAGAAACAAATCTTGCAAAATAACGAAAAGAAATGGATTCGGATGAAAAGTTCTGAGGAAAGAGGTAAGATATGTATACGGCGGCTGTAACCTATAGGAACCGTGGATCATTGATTACGATCATACAATTCGTAGCTAAATAACTGTCCAGTTGTTGTGTTATATCACACCAGACTTCCTGGGAAATGATATAACAATAACGCAGCATCATGGTTTAACTGAAAACTGTGCCCTTGAGTAAAACAAAACTGCTTCATGGTTTCAATTCGCTCCTGTATACAGGGGATATTGCTACATGCTTCCACAGAGGTCACACAGACGCTCCTTCCTAAGACAGGAGGTATGACTGACATTAAAACCAACCGCCCTACAACAAATTTGAATCATGAGGTGTTGGGGATGCACAAATCAATTTCTTGTACAAAGCATAATTTTAAACATACCACCTTAACCACTATAAACATGACTTTCACTCGTGAATGGATTTGGCAGATTATCCATTGTATTGACCTGCCTGAGCATTTGCTCAATTTTTAATGTGTTGCTGGTGGAGCTTGATGTGTACTCGGGACCTGTTCCAATCAGAAGGGGAATATTTCATGGGGACTATTTAGTCATTCGCATGTTTGTTTGTCAGAATTCATTCGAGTTTACTTCCAAATAAAGAAGAGGGTTACCATCCCGGACCTCCACAGCATAGATCCGAAACATCGCTTACTCATCACCTGTAAATGGATGACATCGAACGCCTTGCCAAAGGAGACGTCAAATCGAAAGAACAAATTCTCCTTGTCGAGACCGTTTCTAATGGTATGAGTGTGACATCTGACTCGCCATATGCAACACTATTCATATGAAACGTGTCAAGGTACTGAATGATGGATCCGCCAAGGTACAACGCGAGGGTGTTATTGTCTGTTTGGAGTGCAAGTCTAGGGACAAGCTGCAGAATGCTCCAATTCAAGACAAATTCGTCGTCTCCACAACTGTGTCTTTGACCCCCAGGTCGACCCCGAACATGTCATAGAGTCATGGAAAGCTAATTTGGAATAGACTCATATGCAGCCTCAACAATTCCTGTCCAAACACGTTGTGTGGATACCATGTAGAAGATGCATGAGCCTTGGTCGGGTAATCTTGGAGGGTTTCACTAGGCATTCCTTCCTCGGAACAGTCCAATTCGTATAGACTGCATGTAGAAGGTGCACGAGCCCTTAGCTGATAATGAACCTAACCAACCTCAGCTTGCCAAGTTCCATCGAACCATCGTCGCTGCATTCATTTATTAAGATTTTGATAGCAATTTCACGAAAACGTGTGTCGTCACTCTGTTGTGAACAGGTTTATTTGTCAAAGTAGTATATAACACGTGTGTAAAAGTGTAAAACAGTATCTGACATCAGCGAAATAAACAACACCTTGATCAACAAGTTTTAATTAGAGCAGCTGGATGAAGATGTATCAACAGAATGGAACGTCTGGTATCGCAGATATACATCGTATTCTCATATCGTGTTAAGATCATTAGTGTGGAAATGGTAGTATCAACTTTGTGAGTCACATTCACCAGAATAATGAATCCTGACCATGTTGCAGTTGTCCACATAGTGTCCTCTATCATACGGGTCAGTGGTATCACACTACAAAACCTTGTCCTTCAGTAACAGTGTTTACATGCATGGTGCCATGTATCTGCCAGAGGGTCAGATGTGCCTACTTGAATATAAGCATCTTAAATGTCCTTGTAGGAATCTTTGTCAAGAAGAGATGATCACACGAAAAGGTAACTGTATCCTGTTATACAAACAAAAGTAATACGAAGAAACACATGACAACGAAACAACATCAGCCACATGGTCCCCTTTGGTCCCCGATGTGTCTTTGTGTTAATGTCCCACATATGTCTTGCATGAAACGTTTGAAAGCATTACTGAGGCATGTGATGCTATTGGACATCTTCGTGGGAAAACGATTGTACCAGATACGCAATAAGAGGCCCCACTGGAAGAGTATAATTATTTAAAGTGCTAATGCGTCTTGGTAAAGGTAAATGTGATAGTTTAGAATGAACCGTGAAACGGAATTTAATGGCACCCAGAAGCTGCGTGAGTGGTATTCCAAGTGTTGTCCATGTTGTGAGAGAGAGAGATGCGAAATACAAATTCTTGCTCTCTTGGCTTTCAATCCAAACATGTTAACCAACTCGTCAAAGCTGTACTCATCAGGATCCATGGAACAATGACGGGTATTTTGACCAGTCGGTTTAATGACATGTTTTCTATATTAGCCTGCCGGCCTTTTTGCCTACAGCTCTTTCATGTTGACGTATTCAGCTTTATCTGCCTGGGCCGTCGTAGCTTTCTTTGGTTTCCGAACTTCAGCGTAGACATCTGGAACATGTAAGATGTTACTATGACAACAGACTGGTGCTGCTTTCCAGTGTCGCACACAAGGAGCTTTGGATCATCAATGCAAACAATGTTGCATTTATATTACAATGTTTTAACACATTTGGAACTGATGAAAAAGCTCACATACCTAATACAAATATATCATATTTGAGGAACTTGACTTTTCATGTAGTTTTTCAACTTACATGAGTAGTATCCTTGGAGTGTCAACGATGCTGATGCTGAAATAATTCAAGAACCAGGATATGTTGCTGAAAGTCCTAGCGCTAAGACTCGGTGTGAAATCTGGATATTAGTAAAGCAAGTCCCTACTTCAGCTTGTCATTTCACTGTGCAATTAGTGCCTCTTAGTGCTTCATTTGCATCAGTAACTATTGTTATTATATAAACTTAATAACCCGTAGATAACCAAGTATAACGAACCTGTGACGGCGTGATCAATCTCCGTAAGTTGCCGACTGGGTGTGATGTCTACCGAACCCTCGTATAAGTCATTTTCCTCTGGAATATTCAAGGTGAAGTTAGGAATTTTGTTTCGTTCTTCCTGGTGCTTGTTTTATTATTTACTTGTACTTTATTTAACTGGTTTTGTTAAAAGAAAATAAACATAATCCTCCGCTAAATTACAAACTCACCAAGTACTGTTTCATTTTCTTTTCTCCAAATCCTTATTCACATACAACAAACACTTACATAACATGGCATGCTGTACGGTGCACCATAGTTTATTCGTTTCAAACAGAATATAAATAAGTTTTACACAGTATGTACAAACTACATCCATCGAGCCTTCAGTCATAAGGCGCCGTCTCCTTACATCGCTGAAGCAGCTACGAACCCGCCATTTACATCTTGCATTGTTCGTGGCATATGCCCCCGATGACTCACGTATTCTAATGGCTCGCCAGCCTGGACATGTCCGTCCCACCCAACAGTGACAGTCATCGGTCTGTAACATTACACGAGAATTAAACATTCAATATGGAACACATACATATATACAGACAGTGTATATATCCGCTCTCAAAGAAATCACATCATATAGCATCAAATCAAAAATGACCGCTGGTGCACCGCAGCTGAGAATGGCCTAATTCAAATTTCCCTCCCTTTTATACCTATCAGAGCGCCCTCATACTCATAGCATTACTTCCCCTTGTTGTATCTTCCGACGCTAGGAGAAAGAAATTTCATTCTAATTTGTACCTCAAACGAAAGAATTTATATTTCTCCAACTCCTTATTCACATACAACAAACACTTACATAACATGGCATGCTGTACGGTGCACAAACTGAGACATAAAGAACGGGCAGCTTTACAATCCAAGCGAAAGAGACACTTTCAAACGCTTTTCAATATCATCTTTCACATAACCGTCTTTTGCATTTTCACTTTTCCACCTGCCATGACGCTTAAACATTCTATCTGGAATGCCATTGTTTGCGGCTGCAGTAGCTCCACCTGCTCTCAAACTGTGCAGACCAAACTTTGATATATCACTCACATGTGAACTAAACACCTCAATGAAAAGCTCTCTCAAACGGGAATAGGACATGGGCTTATTGTCAGCTCTCAAAATGTAACCATTTTCAGTCTTACTCATATTTCTGAATATAAATTCAGGATCTTTCACTTTGGTAAGCTTCAAATATCGTTCCAACCATGCTACAGGGCACATATTTGTACCTGTCCGGCCTATGATAATCCAAGCCCCATCTCTATAGACATCAGTTTTTGACTTCTGAATAAACACGGAAACGTAAGCTTGACAAAATACTACATCACTCCGAGTTATCGCTAATAACTCCGATGATCTCATGAAACCTGAATAAGCTAACAGGCACATTACAACAGTTCTCATTTTGTACAATGAGCATTCCTCCGCATTGTCTGGTACAATCTTATTCAACAGCTCAACTGTTATAGGCTCTTTCTTACAAAGAGGCTTGGCTAACTTCCTCTTAGCTGCTTCAAGTACGTTTTTTACTAACGTACTCTCTGTGGGGCTTTCTAAACCAACTAAAACATGGGCATGTCTCAAGCTATAATAAGCTGTCTGAACAGGTGAGAAAGTCTCACTTTGCTGACACATTGCTAACAAATATAAAGAACAGTGCAAAGGTGATACTGGCATATTTGTTGACATACCCTGGGCCAAAACCCATTTCTTCCATGCTTTAAAACCATAATCATACTTTTTATTTGTGGAGTTTGCTCTCGAGCAAGACAAATGCTCTGGAAGACGTCTTACGAGCTCCCTCATAGATGGAGGTAAAGTCAGTATCTCACTTCTATATACATGTTCAAACACACCTGCAACACGGAAACAACATCATCAGAATATCACACGTAAAGCCATCATGTTGAAGTTTATATCGTTCACTCCAAACAACCAGCCAAACTGTCTGCTTGGTACATATGCCTCCTTACAAGTGGGAAGATACATCCAGGCTTTAACTTGAGGTATAAATACCTTATTAGGACACAATATAGGCCAGAAATTGGCTGAATACCATACAGGAATGACGATAGTTCCCTTAGCGTGACACTCCCTCATATGCCTGAGAACACGTGCGATCATAAACACAGGAGGCACTATCCAGTTATTGTCTTCACCCCAGGACATAGATAAAGCATCCACTCCGTCACTTCCTGGATTCCAAAATCTTGAGTTAAACCTTACAACCTTAGTATTGTAATATGACGCAAATCTGTCAACATCAAATGGGCCCCATTTGGCAGAGACGCGTTGAAACACGTAATCCTGGATACCCCAATCATCTGCATCGACTATCTTACTCAGATAATCAGCACGCTCATTTTCTAACCTTGGTATCCACTGCATGTAAACTCTGATATTATATTCATTGCACAGCTTGAAAATATCTAGAGCCAAAGCTTGAAGATCGACTTTCATGCTACCTTTCGACACAATCGACTCTACATTTTGATTGTCAGTAAACCATTTTACTTTGTGCGACTCCAAAATGGAAACAAAACTGTTCATAACCAACAACACAGCCTTCAACTCTCTCCAAGTTGAACTCCGTGACGCTTCTAATGCTGACCACTGACCATGTGATATGGCTTGACCAACTTCTACACAGTACCCACCAAAACCGGAATTACTAGCATCACTGTAAACTACCCGTGTAGGAATACTTCCATAGCTTAGAGTACATTCACTGTGTCTGTCAATATGTGAAGCCCAAAATTGTAACTGATCTCTACTCAGGTACGATATCATTACAGTTTCTTTCCACGATGTAGCCTGGAGTGTCTGAATACTCAGAAACTTTGTCATTAGCTGAGACAAAGTACCAACAACCATCTTCATAGCAACTACTTGCCCAACAACCGAAGCTAAGCTCTTTACAGGGACTGGAACAGCAGAAGACAAAAGTTCTGCTATACTTTGCTTAAGCTTAGATATTTTCCGTTGAGGAATAGACAACTTCATTTGTCTTGTATCTATGATAAAACCTAACCATTCGATCTCTTGAACTGGCTTCCATAGGGACTTTTCTACTTTTGGTACAAAGCCTGGTTTTAACAAGTCTTGCTTGACAAGTTGGCCAATAGCTGCCGTTTCACATTCGGAAAAACTTGAAAGGATCCCATCATCTAGAAAAGTAACAATCTTGTAACCTTGGAAACGCCAAAACTTTACCAACTGTCTGGTAACCTTAGTAAACACATAAGGTGCTGTACTCAAACCAAAAGGGAGGACAAGAAATTTAAAATACTTCTTGTCTTTTCCTGAACACACCCCATGCAAATCCTAGAAACTGCGTATGTTCATGGTAAATATCAATATGGTGATATGCAGAATGGATGTCGAATTTCACTAGCCAATCATTCTTTTCTATGTACAACAATGCAGTTCTCCAGTCCTCCTACTTAGCTGAGGCTTTCCACAGATGTTTATTCACTCTAGACAAGTCTAAAATAAGACGCTTTTTACCAGAATGTTGTACAGCTACAGATTAAGGGTTAACCACGTAAGGTTTATCTGAACACTGAGCAATCAACCCTCTGCGCAACAAATCTTTAACAGCTGATGACACAAAGTCAAAATTCTCCTTACCAGATCTATTGTTCCTTATATTCATTCTTTGTGGGGTAGAATAAAATGGTATTTTGTATCCGTATTCAATAATGTCTAAAACAAAATCAACAGCACATATTTCTTTCCAAAACGAAACATGATTTTTCAGTCTACCCTTTACAAATATATCTATCCCATCTTGTTCATATTCATAAAAGTCATTTGTAAGGCCAGGTGCAACAACGTTTACAGTATCATCACCTAATGTATACTCAACTTCGGGTTCTGCTTCCTTGGAACGTATCCTACTCTCTGTCAAGCTTCCCGTGTTGCTGAGTTGTGTTGTTAAGTAAGGGACACTGACGTCTCCAGTGGTTGAAGTCGCCACACATGAAGCACGCTCCTGACCTTTGACCACGGCCACGAAAATTATTAGACTGGTCACCAGCATGAGAATCCGTTGAAGCTTGAGTGACTGTCGAGGAAGGACGCTGGATCGGCTTGTAAGGATGCAATCGTCCGGAACGAGATGCCCTTGTCTTGATTTTCTTAATCGCTTTGCTTTCCGCTCGGTTGATTCTTTTGTCGTCATCAGAATCTGACGCCAATTCATGAGCCACATAATTACGCACTGTTTCCCAGCCCCCCTCTGAGGAATCAGCTATTTTTATGAGTTTGTTTCTTGTCTGACTAATCAATTCCAAGGCGTAATCAGTCTTATCATACTGAATAGCAAAACGCAACTGTTCTAAGTTTTCCAGAGCTTCGGAATTAAAGGCAAACTGAATTTTGTTCCCATATTTTTTCCATTGATAGTCCCTCTCCGCTTTCAATTTATGTACTTCTTTGGATGTTTTATAAAACTCATCACGAAGACCTTCAATCTTCTCATCAACTGCCTTCCTAATTTCAGCTTGTGATTGATCCAACTTTTTCAATATGGCGTCTAACTTGTCGCTGTCAGTGTTGACTACCCTGGGGCTGACCATAATCAAAAATGACCGCTGGTGCACCGCAGCTGAGAATGGCCTAATTCAAATTTCCCTCCCTTTTATACCTATCAGAGCGCCCTCATACTCATAGCATTACTTCCCCTTGTTGTATCTTCCGACGCTAGGAGAAAGAAATTTCATTCTAATTCGTACCTCAAACGAAAGAAATTATATGTATCTCCTCGCCCCTGAAATATACATGCAACCTATCTTAGTTATGTATACATCTTCCAAAACTGAGTGAGTTATGGATTACACTTCTCTTAAAGGTATTCAACAGTGTTATCCAAACAGTATGCAACAGTGTTTTCTCAATCTTATTCAACAGTATTCTCTCAACAGTATTCATCAGTGTTATATCAACGGTATTCAACAGTGTTATCTTAACAGTGTTATCTCAACAGTATTCATCAGTGTTATATCAACGGTATTCAACAGTGTTATCTCAACAGTATTCTCTCAACAGTATTCATCGGTGTTATATCAACGGTATTCAACAGTGTTATCTCAACAGTATTCTCTCAACACTATTCATGTGTTAAACCAACGGTATTCAACAGTGTTATTTCAACAGTGTTATCTCAACAGAATTCTCTCAACAGTATTCATCAGTGTTAAACCAACGGTATTCAACAGTGTTATCTCAACAGTGTTATCTCAACAGAATTCTCTCAACAGTATTCATCAGTGTTATACCAACGGTATTGAACAGTGTTATCTTAACAGTGTTATCTCAACAGTATTCATCAGTGTTATATCAACGGTATTCAACAGTGTTATCTCAACAGTATTCAGGAGTGTTATACAAACGGTATTCAACAGTGTTATCTCAACAGTGTTATCTCAACAGTTTTCTCTCAACAGTATTCATCAGTGTTATATCAACGGTATGCAACAGTGTTATCTCAACAGTGTTATCTCAACAGTATTCTCCCAACAGTATTCAACAGTTTTATCTCAACAGTATTCTCTCAACAGTATTCAGGAGTGTTCTCTCAACAGCATTCAACAATTTTATACACATCTTACAGTGGCGAGAACAAAAGTAGAATGATCTTGAATATCATTCTTCAATTATCCACCGTCACTTTATTAAGTGACATAATGCTGGTCGGTATCATATTACCTGTGAATGTAAAAATATCGTAATAAACATGTTAATTACAGCACTTTTCTGTGTTATTGTTTCAGGGCTTTACGTCTAGTTCATGTACGGATTGTCACGTGGATTACCATTCATTTCAACTTTGGAAAGAACACGAAAGAACATATTTCATATCACTTTCATATATCCCAAATATGCAAATTGTTAAAATGAAAAACTCTTACTATTATGTATTTGAACACACATGATAACTTATATGATAAAGCAATATCGTCAGGTGTTTTATTATTGAGTTACACCATATCCTGCGAGCACACTTGGACATCATTCAGCCCTGAGTACTATTTATTTCCTACATTTACATAAGATGCACTCACACGTTGCTGTAGACGGGGGCTGGTGCCAGGTGATCAGTCGCCATGTCCCTTTCACTGGCTGTGAATGTTGATAGTGATGTACAGGTATTATTATCTTACTAGATGTGAAGCTTACAATATGTGAAAATCAAGATATAATGAAATACGTCATCATATCGTATGTGAGTGCATATGTGTGTATGTGTCTCTCTGTGTCTGTGTGAGTGTGTCCGCGTCCTCTCTTTCTTTCTCTCTTTGTCTCTCTCTTTCTCTCCTTCTCTCTTTCTTTCTATCTCTTTTTCTCTCTCTTTTTCTTTCTCTCTTTCTTTCTCTCTCCCTCTTGCTCCGTCTCTCTCTCGACGAGTTGGTAAACATTTCTGGATTGAAAGCCAAGATAGCAAGAATTTGTATTTCATGTGTTATAATTTATCATCTTGTTTTAGGGATGAAAATTGACACCCTGAAGGAAGAGATAAACCGATTGTATCAGGAAATACAAAAAGGACAAGTGTGTGAGGAAAAGACCCCAATGATGCCAAGTTGGTTTAACGCAGGAGCACGGTGCTGACAATACTGGAGACGTTTATGGCGTGTTATTTGTCATTCCAAATAGATATATATCCTGACAGCGGTTTCTTTCAGACCACGTGAAATTGCTATGGAAACAGTTTCAACATATGTTTATGTAGATTTATTTACATGGAAATATGATCGCCTTAGTCCCTGAGGCTCCAGTTCTCCCTGAGCAAATTAATTTCTCAAGACAATGAACCCAGTATCAATAGTTGTCCTTTCCTTCATTTAGGTCAACATTCGAGCAACTGTCTGACCGCAGCCTGTAAGAGGCGTGTCTGAGTGAGGCAGGCTGGGGATTATTCTCTCTCTCTCTCTCTCTCTCTCTCTCTCTCTCTCTCTCTCTCTCTCTCTCTCTCTCTCTCTCTCTCTCTCTCTCTCTCTCTCTCTCTCTCTCTCTCCTTCCTTCTTCTGACACACACAACGATGACGACAAAGACGATGATGATGACAACACCAACTCCTGCTCCTACAGCGACGTAGACCGCTGGCGATTGTAAAGTTACCGGTGAAGTTGCATGAAAACGTTTATATATTACTTCACAAACTGTATTCATACGTGCAGTATAATCGAAGAAGCACATATAGGAGAAGCATCATCATCACAGTTACACCGCATTAATAGAAAAACTTAAAATCTAAATGTTACCCATAGTCGACGTTTCAGGTTTTGTCGTGAGCATCGTTGTGGTTGCAGTTGACGTGCCTGGTGTACCTGGCAAGGAAATGATATCGAAGTCATTACATGTTGAATTACCGAAGACCAGCCTGCATTGGAACAGTCAGGGATTCTAAACGAATAGCCCTTCCATTGTCTCCACTAAGCAATGGACACCAAATATATTACACGCGATCCTCAGCTCTATGAAAGTTATAGACAGGGTATATGCCAGCAGTGTTCGAACTCGAAGTGCAGAAGCTGCGTGGGTTGTACCGCTGAATGTAGAAGATGAAGGAGAGGTACCCTTCCATTGTTATCTTATTCCTTTTTAGGAATCCCTACACTGTTTCTTATTTCCTATTTTATTGTTTATGAGTTCCAAATTCATAAGTGAAAATGAAAACCCATCGCCAGAAGTTGTGGAAAATATTGATCCTGGTGTGTTGTTTGGCGGCGTTTCTTTCGGACTTGTTTCTGAAAAATTGATGTTGCAAGAAGTAACCTTTTCCCCTATGTACGTTGATACAGACGATGCTGTATGTGATGTGGCTACAAGCACTGTTGTTATATGTGAGGGGACAAAGTGGGGATCACATTTTTATTGTAACTGAAGTTATTAAGACTCCTATCACACATAACCCAACACCAACTTTTCAACTCTGGAAAACGTTGCATGGGTGAATAGCTGAATTCAACCAATCACAAATTCAGTAAGCGAGCCGTTGATCCCATGTCGTCTCTACAATGATGTTCGACAAGTTTTACTGCAGAGATGTGCTGAAGTGTGCTCCGGGTTGAACACGTATATATTTTTATCTTGCACTGTGCCATTTTATGTGCAAAAATATGTAAACTATTTTAGACAAACGGATGGAGAAAAGATGCAATTTCTGTTATATATTTTATGCTCTTAGTATGTTTTCTCTCTCGCTCTCGTGTATATATAGGCGGAACTTAGCTTTCAATGTACACCTGAAGAGCCGTTGAACGGCAAAACATCTTGTGCAGATATAAAGGAGATTTGACAAAAAGAAATATCGTGACTAATATTTTTGTATTGCTTATACACCTGCAGAAATCACACACATATATATATATATATATATATATACTAGCCACATAAAGAAACTGTGCATTGTGAAATTATTATCCCAGTTGATAAGTACTATAACAATGTCAAAGGTACATATAAACTTTAATGGAGGGATCATGAAACCATAACAAGTCGGGAGAATTTCAATTGAAAAGTCAATCACAATGACGTCACGAGTCTCCAAGCGGGACAGGGGTCAAACGACCATGTCACAAGCTCAATAACGGGTATGTCCACCATCGGCATTGAGAACAGCAGTGCATCGACGACGCATAGAGCCTATCAAACGTGCAAGGAAGGCTTGTGGGATGTCACGCCAGATTCTCTCAAGTTCGGTTGCAAGGTCAAGGACGTTATCTGGCGGATGAGGAAGACGGCGTAGACGTCTATCCATCTCGTCCCAAACATGCTCTATCGGGGAGAGATCCGGTGAATTTGCAGGCCAAGGCAGTAAGTCAACGTTGTGCTGTTGCAAGAAATCCATAGCAACCCTTGCCGTATGAGGGCGGGCATTGTCCTGTTAACCCAGGGCCATGACGTTGCAGAAAAGGAATTGCCACAGGTCGAAGAATCTGATCCGTAGAGGGAATGATTGTACGGGACCAAGTCCAACAAAAGGCTCTGCAAAGCCTTATTCCCCAAATAAGGCTTTGGTCGGACCCTTAGCTCTTGCTACCATTACCCCTACTATAAAAAAGTTTGGGACGCTAGCGGGATACGAACTCCCGCGGCTGAAGTGTGTATAACGTGCCGCTATGACATAGAAAGATAGAAAGGTTCTAAAAAGTAGTAAAATGTCCCCGGCAGCCACAATTCCCCAAGGGTGAAATCGAAAGATGATGTTGCGCTTCCTCCCCTTGGGAATTGTGCCGGCTGCCTTTCTCTCACCATGAGAGTGCCCCTCTCAGCTAAGTGCTTTAAGCGACCCAACTGATATGATCTTGATTCCTTACCGAAACACCTCACATCACACAAAGTTGCAAGGAATCTCCTGAGGCAACGGCGGGATACGAACCCACATGTATAGCTCGCGCAAACTATACATAATGGGCCGCACCACTCAACCGATTGAGCTACCGGGGACATAGCTGAATCATCTCGGTTTAACGGGTCTATCCTGAACTAGCACTTTCCTGATCACGTGACACTATGCGGTAACACTGTGCCGTACGGTACGATCAATAATTCTTCTCTTACAAAACCTCTGCCCGGCCCATCCCTCAAGTAGTACAAGTTAGGCTCGTCTGCTTTAATGTCCACTTTATCTATGTTGTAAGTTTTGACTGACCATATAGGATCGGTGGCTCGCTTACGGCTATCACCCTCGTGTTCCCCCGGCTGGTATAGATACCTCACTAGGACCCTGTCTGGTATCTGTTTCTCCTTCCCACGCAAAGGAGCGGCCGACTGTGCAACTATTGATTTTAGTTTGATAGCGTCTGCCGGCTTTTTACCGGTGAGACGGGTGACTTCATGGTTGATTGCCGACACCACCTTAGGTAACCTCGTGACCCATTCAGTCGATCGCTTCCCCGGGGTGGCCATCTCTCTAGCATACTGATGTCCGAATAAGCGCTCAGCCAAAGTCCTATTAAATCTCTCAACTATGGCTTGGCTGCGATGGGCTCCGGCCGTGCCACGCCTGACCTTTGTATCGTGTTTGGCTAGCAGTTGTGACACGGCACCCATGAACTCCCGCCCTGGGTCAACTTGCAGCTCTGTTGGCCACGTCAGCGGACTGCGTTTGTATATACGTTCGAATCCTCTGGCTACCTGGACCGAATCTTTCGTGGTCAAGGGTTCGGCTTCCTTGTAGCGACTGGCTACATCCACGACTGTTAAGGCATACTTGTACCTTTTATCGTGGGTAGGAACAGTAGGTCTGCCTGGTGAACGCTATTAGGTATGTTAATACCGAACTTCCTTCTAGGCACGTAGCGTGGTGGTGGCAAATAGATCTGCCACAGGGCTTGTTTTTTTCGCCACGCTTTATTTCTCCGGCGGTACTCGCGCCATTTTAGCCAGCTTATCTACAGCGCTAGCTCCTTTCCAGTACCCACGCGGGCTATAGTAAATAGCCTCAAACTTTTTCTGGTTCCCGACCCCGACATATTTATATCTATGTTCTTGGTTCAATTTTTCATGCCCGTACGCGTACGTGTTTATCCCATCAATAGCTATCCAACGTTTAGTATCCATAGGCGACAGGGACGTCTTGTTTATAGTCAGTCCGTATATCCTATGGCCATCACTTCTAAGTGTGTTCATTTTATGTCTAAAGGTACGGGTCTTGAACAGGGCTTCCTTGAATCTGGCGTGTTTGATGTGTTGTTTAACCACGTACTTCTTAACACCCTTAGCCTTCCGGATCTCACTATTGTCGGCTTTCAGTATGGAGTACATCTTAGGCCTCAACCCTATGTACTCGGCTATGGGCGTGCCAGCACACTCGTCCTTCATCTTACCTAGGACCTTTTTATTCACCGTGCTGTGTATGGTATGGTCCTTGGGGTAGTCGCTGGTGTCGTACAAATCGAGGTGTTTTTTCATGTCCTCGTACACGTCCTCGGTTTGAATCTCCATCAGCAGGGAATCCGTGTCAGTGTACAGCACTTCACACCTGTCGTCGTACTGTTTCTTAAGCTCGTTGTAGTAAAAGTCGTACATCAGGTGTTTGGATAAATCGAGGATGCTCATCCCCACGTAAACAGGCCGGTTGAATTTTATGTGGCTTTTCTTCATGTGTAGGGCAACTAGGTCATCGGTGAATATCTTGCTACGGTTGAATGCCGGACTGGCTATCAGTCTCCTGAGCTTGTCTTCCTCATCATTCGACCGAACCAGCTTCACGGTCACGCGTTTCCTCAGGTTCTCCATAGTCTTACCGAACACCGAGTTGTTCATGAGCTTGTAGAGATTTTTCTCAAAGTCACTGGTGGCAAGCTTTCGGAGGTCTGTGTTCATTCTGATGTAGGGTTCCATCCATGGGCTCTGGTCGAACACGAGCACCCTGTGTATTTTGGTCAGCCTCATACCCAACGACAGGTACAGCTGTAGGTTGCGATAGTGAACGATGTACTTGGTCTTATTCATTAAGTTAGGCACGAGTTTTTCAACGTCTGCCACCCGCCCACCTAACAAGTTATGTTGGTACTCAGACATCCAGTTGGGCTAACCCTCATACGTTCGGGGCCAGGGGTAGCTGTTGTGTGATGTGTGTAATACCTTGGGGTATTCTAAGTCAACCTCGAGGATATAACCTTTGTTTGAATCTGGTGCGATGCTCATAACATCGACCTCCTGTGGCACCCATTCGAATCCCCCTGTGGGTAGATACTGGCTCATAGCCCAGCCGTACAGGTTGTTGGCGTCGAGGTAGAGAATGTGATTGGTTGGCTTGCTAGGGTCGTAACCCTTCACGTATTGATTATTTGCTTTCGCGTATCGTTTGGTTGCCATGGAGATCCCACCTCGCAAGCCTTTCTCAATGAATAGGTGCATGTCATAATCTGTAAGCAATTCCAACTTAACTCCGGTCTTTTTAAGCAAGGCATCCCACGACAGACCTGGGCTGGTGTAATACCATGCGGGGTCGAGTTTATACTGCTTGAAACATGTCCGCCTAAACGTCTCAAACACGTCGGCTAACAGCAGTACATCTGTCCTCAAGTACAGGTCGTGATAATCCCCCAGGTTCTTACAACCCAGTTTATTCCATACGTTAATCGCGTGCGAGTAATCGTCTTGGGATATTTCCGAGTCGGTCAGATTGCTGTAAAATTCTCTGATGGGAGGTAGTCTGGTCTCGGCGAACTTGGGCCAACTATCCATGTACTCATAGGGGTACACACCCTTCCTCATAAGCAGGGGTCTAGTCTCGGCGTCTGTGTATCGGTCGGTGATAGGGAAGGTATCGTTGGCCTTAACCAGACTGTCTAATGAAGACAATAGAAATTGTACTGAATCTATAAACCTAAGGCCGTTTAAGCTGAAGGAGATGTATCTCTCCATGTTGTTGGGGATGCACGTTATATTACCATCGATTTTCGCGATGGCCTGCATGATCAAATGAGAGTCGTACCCTCTCAAGTTGTGAAAGACAACGGGGATGTTTATTATCTTAGGGTTGATTCTAAGCTTGAGGTTACACGCGCTGTGAGCGGCGCCTCTATACTTACCGGTTACGTGACAGTGATCTCTCACGGAATCACCATTCAGTGGTGAGTCGCACACGTGACAATTAGTGCTACAGGCGTGAGCTAGTCGGTCGGCTCGGGTCATACGCATGGGAGCGACTCTATACAGTGCATTCCTAATAATTTTTTCTTCCTCCTGCAAACACTTTAGAAACCTTTCAGCCGCGTCGGGACCCCTGTACACT